AAGACTGCAACTGCAGACTGCGGGCTTGTGTTGAGGTGGGGAGATTCTGTTAGGCATGCGGCTTACTCGTCGGACAGAGCACGGGGGAATCCCTGGTGCGGCGCTTTCTGGTGCCGAGGGGCCTTCCCAGCCGGTCCCGTGAGCTGCGGGCGGCTCTGGCACGGTTGCAGCCTCCCTCTCGCCTGTGACTCACTCGCTAGGGGCGGGGGAGGGGGGCTTCCTGGAAGCCGTGACGAGGAGGCTCGGCCCGGACGCCCGGGTTCCTCTCTGTAACCAGGGCTTCTGTCGCCTGTAAACAGAGGCTCGAGTACTACGGGAAAAGGGGGAATGGGGAGGTGCCTGGCACCCGCCGCTCGTTTGGGCTCTAAAATCCCTGTGCCGCTAGCAGGACTAAGGCAGCGGTAAAACCAGAGGGATGGTGGGGGCCACCGTGGGGTACCCGGTGGAGTCCAGCTTGGCTTTGGCCGCGATCTTGGAGGAAGGATACCAATTTCGATTCCCTGGAGACCAGGAGTATTTCCCATCCTTGAGTCAGGCTTGACCCCCCTCCCCTCTCCTATCTGCTGACTCATCGGCCCTAGAGCCAGAACGCTTCGGATTGGGCGACTCTCGAAGAGGCTGGAGGGGGCTTTGCGCATTGAAGGACTGACCACCCTTCGAAACAATGACGGGGGCGGGGGTCCCAAAAGTCCGGGCCTCAGGCCCTCCTTGCTCCTATCTAGTGGTCGCGGTCTCCAAGCCACCTCCTCGCTCAGACCCAGGAGACCCGGCCCTCAGCCCCTTCCTTCATCAGACCCGGGAGTCCAGGCCCCTAGCACCACCCCCTGCCCTCAAACCCCGGAGTCCGAGCCCCCAGCCCCCTCCTCCCTCCCATTTAGGAGTCTGGCTCCCATCCTCCCCACCCCCACCCGTCCAGGCCTCGGGCGTCTCAGCCCAGGAGGAAGTTCAGGGCAGGACTCCACCCCACTCCCCACGTAGCCAGCGGGAAAATCCGTGCCCGGGCGAAGGCCGGGAATCCCCTCTGGAATGACGGCGGGGAAGGGGATGGCCGGGGTCCCCCGCGGGGCTCTGAGGGGCAGGTCTTAGGAGGGCCAACCAAGGGGGAAAGGGGCGGAAACCAGAGAGGCTAAAAATACGGCAAGCACTTCCGGCCTGGGGGAGGGGAACGGAGAGCAGAGTTTCCAGAAAAACAAGCGAGGACGGGAAATGCGGGGGTGTGAGAGCTGGTGCGAGTGCGCGGGCGGGTTGGGGACCGTGTACTCGCGGCACGTGTGCCAGGGCCATGTGTCCGCCCGGCACGATTGGCCGTGTGCGCAGCCGCGCGGGCCAAGCAACGCGTGTACCACACAGTGAACAGCTTGAGCACTGCAGGTGCGAAGTGGAGGGGGGAGGGCCTTGGCGTGCCTGGGTGTGCAAACAGGGAAGCAGGTGTGGGACACGAGTGCGCCCAGTTTCCTGCATCAAGGCTGTGTCCTTACAACCCGCCTGACGTGGTTGTGTGAATAAATGAAACCACCGATGCCTGTGTGATTGACCATACCGTGTTTGCTCTAACCATCCCTGGGGGCGGGAGTGTGTAGTCAGCTGTAACTGGCTTTGAGGTGGCATCCATGAGAACGTGTGACATACCTACCTGCACATCTGTGTGTAGCTCTGAACCACCGTGGGATCTGAAGTGACTAAGTGCGTGTAACTCCTGGAGGGAGGCTGGTGAGGGTGACTGTGCGCTTTGGTGTGATGACCTGGGCGCACACAGCTTGTAAGCTGAGGGTGTGTGTAAGCACCTGTGTGACTGTAGGCAGTGGTGGCTGTGTGCAAGGCATCTGTAGCTCACTGTGAGGTCATCAGGTGTGTGAATAGTGTTCCTGTGTGTCTGTGTCCTTGGGGTGTAGCTGAAAACACAGGAGGCCAGTGTCTGGGAGTAGTTCCTCTGTGGCTCAGTCATAAGGCAGTGAAACTGGTGAACTTTGGTTCCTGACGTCTACAGTGCGCAGATGGGGAGGGCAGCTGGCCCACTCCTGGCTCCATGTTGCTGTTCCTGCCGGCCTCCGTGGGCCGTGCTGTGGCATACACGCGCGCACGCACACGCTTGAACGTGAGAAGCCTTATCTAAACTCAGCCCAGGCTGCTTTTGATAATGTTGAGCTGAGAGCATGGCTGAGTCAGCCCATGATGGGCAAAGTCTGCGATGGGGTGAGAGATAGTGGGTTAAGTGGTGGTTAGAGGGTTGTTTGTGTATTCACATGGTTGGATTGTTCCTTTAGAATCTGTTTATGGGACCGTCACTGGGACGGAGACTCTGGGGACAGTGATTGGAGGATGGTGGGTTACACTCTCCTGTGCTAGGGGGAGGGGTGTCATGTGTGACCTGGTCTGTTCTGCCCTGTGTGGCTGTGGCTTTCATCCCCCCCCCTTTTCAGCGTGGGTGGTTGCACACCAGGCTGTACAATCTCCCCCTGGGTCTAATGATCAGTAAGAATCTTCACTAAGGGCCTCTCCTGTCCCTGTCTCTTCACTGTGGTCCAGGCCTCCACATTATTCCCCAAACACACCAGCACATTTCTGCCTCTGACAGGGCCTCTGCACCTTCCTGTCCCCTCTCCCTGGAAAGCTCTTGCCCCTAGAATGTCCACAGGACTTACTCCCTCTCCTTCAAGTTCACTCCAGTACCACCTTCTCAATGAGGCCTCTGTGACCTAAGCAAAGGATTTTTAAAAGGTTTGAAAATAATCTTGCCATCTATTTAACAAATAATAAATGCATGCAAATCTATTTACAGATCATATTAATACACTTGAACCACTACCCAAACTAAGCTCTCCAACTTTCATGTTTTCCAATAAAGTAATGTAAATCTGTGGGCAAATCTTACATTGAGATTTATTCCTAAGTACTTTTTTTTTTTCCTATTCTCTCTCTCCATTTCTGATCTCACTTCTCTACTTTATTGTCCTTCTTGGAGCTTCTCACCATCTGACATGCTGTGTTTTACTTTATCACACTTAACTGTCTCTCTCTAGAACATCACCTCCAGGAAGACAGGGATCTTTGGTTCACTGGGTACAGGGCTTGGCCCAAACTAGATGTTCAGCATATATGTGTCAAATGAACCCAGCTTCCTGGTGCACAACTTCCACCCTGTGTGTGGTTGCTGAGCTGTGTATCCATCACCCCATTGCCCACAGGGGTCTCTGTTGCCTCTCTGGGCGTGGTTTTAGGTACTGTTGGGCCCCTATCTTGGCTGCTGGGATGCCATGTCCCCATCTGTGTGTGATGTTGCTGTGTGGATGCCACCTCACAGAGCCAGCTCTACCTCATCCTGAGTGTGTGTCCCCCGGCTGGAAGCCAACAGGCTTTTCTGGGGAAACAGTGCATTTCCGGCTGACCAGAGATAACTGCGTCACCTTAGGTTGAAATTGACTCTGTCCTTGTGTTTATTTGGAGACTAAGTATGGGTAAGGAGGTGGGTACGGGTGCCAAATAGACAAGGACAAGGTTGTGATGGTCAGTTTAATGTGTTAACTTGGCCAGGCTACAGTCCCCAGTTATGTAATCAAACACTAATCTAGATGATGCTGTGAAGGTATTCTGTAAGTGTGATTAAAGTCTATAATCAGTTCACTTTTAGTAAAGGAGATTATCCTAGAAGATCTGGGGAGTCACCTGGGGGTGGGGGCTGATTCAGTCAGATAAATGGGCGGAGCTGTGGCTTCCCTTAAGAAGAAATTCTACCTGTGGACGGCAGCATCAGTTAGCACCCAAGAGGCTTGTCCTATGTGCCTGGCACTTCAAGGAAGGACATGGAGAAAGGGAAGGAACTCCTGAGATGTGTAGACACCCCGGCCCCCCCGGCTGGCCATTTCCCAGGATTCCAGTGTGGAGACTTGGGCTCTGGGTGAATCACAGGTCGCCATGGTCCCGGGTTTTCCTTGCAGATGTGGGGTCCAGGACAGGAGGCCTCTGGGTGGTGACATGGCAACCAGGGCATAGAAGGTGTTGGGTGGGGCAGTCCCCCAACCTGGCTGAGTCACTTGAGCCTTTCACACCCCCCCTCCCCAGCTGGGCCTGGCCTGGGAGCTCCACCCTGCACTTGCCCAGGCCTGAAGGCCATGGCTGAGCTCCCTGAAGCTCTCACTCTCAGGGAAGTGGGGAACCTGGTGGGGCACCCCCTCCCTGAAGCCCCCTCCCCAAGGTCTGCTTCCCGGAGCTGGGGCCCAGGCGCCTGGGTTCTTCCCCAGGGCTGATGAGTCACCCCTGCTGGGGCCTTTTCACTTCTCCTTTGGGGCTAAAAATACAGGGACCCAGGCATCCAGCTGGGCCAGGCTTCACCGCGGATTGCACAACGCCCTAGGTCTGAGTGCTGCTGACGCAGGCCCTGGGTATGGGTGGGGGCCCAGGCTGGGTTGCTCCCCAACCAGGCATGCTGAGATCAGGGCCTAGACCCCTGTACTTCCCCTTTCCTGGGTCAAGCGCACTGGGGGCTGGGCTGACATGAGAGGTGTGGGGATCCCTGGGTATGGCTGCAGCCCGTGGAAGTGAAGCTCCCTCCCTGAGCCCCAGGAAACCCAGGGGTTCTGGTTCCCATTCTGGCCCCTGCATAGGCAAAGTCCCAGTCCGCTGTGGGGGCAGAAGACAGCAAAGGGTGACTAGGAGAGAGCTGGTCAGAGATAGGGAGACAGGGACAAAAAGAGACTGAATGACACGAGACACACAGAACAGCTGGAAAAAGAGCAGACACAGAGAGCACCTCCAAACTGGGAGAGAATCAAGGAAGGATTGTGGGAGAGCGGCCCAGTCAGGGCTCCACACCCAGGCCAGGTAGGGGGAGAGCCTCTGGAAGAGGTCTGCAACAGGCGCCATCCGGAAGTCCACCCTCTCAGCCAGGAAGGACAGACAGCCGGGAGGCAAGGCCCCGCCTTGCGTGCTCCCTGGCGGCCTCTGCTGCCCCCTGCTGGCTCCGGCCGCAGGGCTCAGGCGGGAAGAAAAGTCAGAGACAAAGCTGCTTTGAGGCCACTCTTCATTCCCTCCCCAACCCCTCCCCACACTGCCTGCCCCCTCCCAGCCCTGCCAGCTCACAGGGTGCCCCCGGGGCCCGTAGGTGGTGCAGGCGTCTTGCCTGTGACCTTGTTGGCGCAGTCCAACAGAGCAGTGTGAATGTCCTTGGCACAGGCAATCTGGGCTTTGATGACCGCCAGGTACTGCGGGTAGGGCAGGCTGTCAGGCTGCACGGCATCAGGCTTGGTGGCTGTGGGCACCAGTGTCGGAGAGTGCTTGGCACTGTCGCAACTCTGTGACAGGCACTCATGTGCCAGGCGCTGTGGAGGGGCAGGCAAGGTGTGACATCAGCCTCACTCCGGGTACTGCCAACCCCACCCAAAGGGCCAGCCTAGGGTAACCTTTTTGGTCTCTGGAATTTTCTGGGGTCTTGGGGTCAGAGCCTGGCCCTACCAATCACTTGCTGGGTGACCTCAGGCATGTGGCTGCTCCTCTGAGCCGGTTTCCTCCTTTGGAAAATGGGTTTAATAACTACCTGTACTACTTCATAAGGTGAGAATGCGGAGAGCAGTACATGAGACACAGATGCAGGTCCTGGCTCTTAAGTGCTAACTGATGAATGTCAACTGCTATTACTGTCACTGTCCTGACCCCAGGCCTGGCATTGGCACTGGCTTCTCTGGTGGCACCTGCTCCTCCTCGTTTTCCTCCTACTTCTCTGGTTGGTCCTTCTAGGTACTTCCTAGTCTTCCTTAAATGTGCCAGTTCCCAGGTCCCGGGTCCTCCTCTCATTCTCACACCCTCTAGGGCACCCACAGGCACCACTCAGTTCCCACCTCTGCACTGATGACACACATATGTGCGTCCAGCTTCCCCTAAAATCCCAGACCTTTCAGACTCTGCCCCTCAAGCTGCTCCTTTCCCTGGGTCCCTGTCTCAGGGATGGCCCTACCATTCCACGAGAGCCCTGGGCCACCTCCTGGAGTCTCCTACCATAGTCAGTCCCACGGCCCTGTGCGCAAAGCCTTCTGAGAGTCTCTCCCGTCTGCCTGTCCCCACTTCCTTAGGACCTGCCCTGCTGGAACCTAGCCCTCTTCAATCCTGCCATGGGCTCGCAGCCTCCAATTGCAGCCCCCCACCCGGAACCCACCCCTCATTTGGCAGCCAGAGCATGCGCATGTTCCTAAAAAAGCAAATGAGTCCATGTTCTTCCTTGCTTGAAACCCTCCATGGTTCCGCAGCGCCCTCAGGGCTACGTTCAAAATCCAACAAGCCCCAGTGCCTACCACACTTCAGCACACTACAACCGAATGTTGTAATGTTCCTAAAGGGAACTTAAAACAGAAGCTGTTCCCTCTGGTTGGAACACCCTTCTACCGCTACCAGGCTTCTCAAACTGAGTTTTCCTTCAAATCCCAATTCAAAATAACGATGATGATGATGATGATACTACAGGAAACATTTACCATGTGCCTAGTACAATGTTATGTGCTTTACATGCAAGATTGTGCTGAGTGTTCCCCCAAAATCCATTTTCCAAAAGAGGAACCCAAGGCTCAGAGGTAGAGATTCATGGTCCCTCTGATTCCAGAGGCTGTGCTTTTAGCCATTTGCCCTCCCCTCAACTCCCGCCCCTCTTCCATTTCTGTTCCAGCCTCAGCTCAGATGTGCTCTCCACTAGTAGCCTACCCTGAGCCACTTCCTCCCTAACCCTACCCTAGGCAGGCTCAGGTACCTTCTCTGGGCTTCCACAGCCCCCTGAACTTCCCTCATTTTAATCCTGACCCCTCTGCTTATGCCTCCCCATTCCCCATCCCATCCCTGACCCTTCTGCCTGTGCTTCCCCCGACATAGCCTCCATGACCTGAGATTCTCCCATCAGAGCCCTGACTACTCTGGGCTGACAATGTTTGAGGATATATTTGTCACCCCACTGAACTGGAAGCTCTGTGAGGGCAAGGCTCAGGCAACACTATGTCCCCAGCATCAGCACAGGTCTGGGTCACAGGAGGTACTCAGTGAGCATGTGCTGATTGACTGAATCAAGGTTCCCAAAGCCCCAGGAACTAAGGCAGGGCTGTGGCCACCTGGTGTCTAGGAGGCCCCTTACCAGGCAGAGCTCTAGTTGATCACAGAGTGCATAGAACTCCTCCAGACACTTGTCAAAGCGCTGTATGGGTCCGTCGCTACTTTTCCTACAGTCCAGGAGAAGAAGGTGGGGAATGGATCGCCATCTCTGGGAAATACGTGACTACCCAACCAAATATCCATCAAGAAACCAGGTATAGGCCCAGGAGACCCGAGGCAGGGCCCAGGGGACAGTTAATAGTACAAGGGACAAAACGGGCAAGGTCAGGCGCTAGGGAGCCAGGCTTGAAAATAAGAGAAAAACGGGGGTGAGTGGAGTGCAGGGGGGGATGAGTTTCTAAGACTAGGATAGAGATAGGATTTCCTGGGGAAAGGAAAGTACTCACTGTCCGTTGTCAATGTTAGTGTTCTGAATCAAGTTCTGGGCTGCAACCTTCATCAAGGTCTAGTTACAAAAAAAGGTGTGGGAGATGGAGAAACAGAAGAGGACACTTTTGGTAGACCTCACTCTTCCTTAAGATACAACCAATCTCAGGCCTCCTCTTCACTTCGCACTTGCCCTCCTGTCACTCCAGAGAAACTCCCGCTTCCTCTTCTCTAGGGCAGTAACCACCCGTATTTTTCCAGAGGCCCGCTCTCACCTGGGGTTCTCGCCAGTAACCTCCTGGACATGGTTTAGAGACCTTCTTCACTCAGCAATCACGGTAAGTCTCTGTATAGGCAAGTCCTTTCCCCGGGCTTTAACCACCAGAGCTAGGTTGTTCTCTTTTAAACTCCCTCCCACTCGAATTCCTGTCAATCTCAGGCTCAAGACATCGCACTGTCACTCCACAGAGCATCACTTTGGTCTCACGAAGAGTACCAAGTTTCACTCCTCATTCCTGCCAAACGCTCCTTCTGCTCTCTCCCAGACTAAATAGCCCCTCCGCCCGCCCCAGCGAAGTCGGAAAGCCAAATCTGGCTCGCTTCTCGCAGCTCCTGGCCAATCACCTGCAGGCTCTCCTTCAGCTGCGGGATGAGCATTTTATAGCGCTGCACAGGATCGAAGTCCTGTTGCTGTTGCTGCAGAAGTCCGCTCTGGGTAGGCCCCACCAGCTGTGCCGGTGGTTGCGGCTGCTGCTGGGGACCCGAGCCACCAGCCGAACCCTGACCCGACACACTAGCGGCAGAGGAAGCCGTTGAAGCCTGCTGCTGGGACGCAGCCATCTTCCTCGCTTACGGCGCCGGACGTGCGTCACAAGTGCGTCTTCCCGGTTTCTTTTTAGCGTCTTCGTCTCTAGGCCCTGTTTGCTAGTTAGTTCCGCCTCCCAGAAACTTCAGTCAATGAGGGGAAAGAAACCGCCCTCCAACACTTGACTCTCAAATCCGACGTCCAGACTGAAATACCAATACACCAATCACAAGAAGCTCTCTCTGCCTCATTCCGCCCTTTACGCAGCCGTTCGCCAATCCGGATGTATACCCAATCAGACTCTATTTCCCAGAAGGCCTCACGGTGTGAGGCGACCTGCGGTCTTCAGCGTCTTGGCGGCAGTTGGTGGAGCCGGACCTGGGAGTCAGTTCGTGGCGCTGCTTGCGCGTTTACCTGAATACTAAGTATTGCTCGTGTTACTGGGACTCTTCTCACCAGTACACCTTACTCTGACCCTATCCCTGAGGAGAGCGGCGCCAACCCGAGCCTTGCCTCGGATTGGTCGTCCGGCACGCCCCTTTGCGTTTTCTTGTACTTTTTTAAGGCTCTTGTCTAGGGCTGCTGTTTCTTCATCGTCATGGCGCCCACCATCCAGACCCAGGCCCAGCGCGAGGATGGCCACAGGTAGGCACCAGGCCTCCTGGCTGTATGGCTTTTCTGTAGGTCTGTACAGGTTACGGCTAGTCGGGAGGGTCGGGCGTGGATATCGGCCTACTACATCACCAGCCCTTCCCCCAGGTCTGTTCGTGAGCTCATGTAGCAGGTTCTTTCGGTCAAGTTCCCAAGGTGTTGCCCCACTTCTCTCTTTGCCATGGAGTTCCGGGATTAGGCCCTTGGAGACTTTACCCAGGAGGGACTTTTTATTCCTTTAGACAATCATTTGGAGATCCCTTTCCCAAAAACAATTGAGTACACGACTCTTTATTAAAGCAGTTGAAGACATCTCCTTCCTAAGGAACTGAATACAGCTTCATTCGTTAAAGCATTTAGGAACGCTGTTTCCGAAGGGAGCTGAATACTTGGCGCTGTCCACTAAAGCACTTTGGAGCACACCCACTCCCTCTTTAAAAAGCTTGGAAAAGTGCCCTTCGCTCTCCCGTCAATCTCTCTCCATCTTTTGTCAATGCCTCTCTTTTTCTCACCAGGCCAAATTCCCACCGGACTCTGCCTGAGCGGTAAGCACCATTGGGTTTTCCCAGGAGAGGTGGGCCAGTAGGGGTTGGGAGCAGAGGTGGGGCAGTAGGGGCAGGGTTTTGAGCCACTGTGTTCCCAGGTCTGGAGTGGTCTGCCGAGTCAAGTACTGCAACAGCCTCCCTGACATCCCCTTCGACCCCAAGTTCATCACCTACCCCTTTGACCAGAACAGGTGAGACTGAGATGGGAGTTAGGGAAACAACTCACTTAGAATATGAGTTCCTTGAGGGCAAGGACTGCATATCTTGTTGACTGTTCAGGGTCTAGAACAGCATCTAGCACATAGTAGTAGGTGCTCCGTAACTGTTAATGAGACAAGCAGTATCCAACTTTCATCCCACTGGAGAGTTGCTAGCCTTCTGACTCTAACACGGGGGACATTCCATTCTGAGTTCCTCCCTGGAGAAGCTTAGCCTCTAGGGAGCAGGGATATGAGGGGCAAAGCTGGAATCAGGAAACCATAGAGGGCATGTTTCTCCACCCAGGTTTGTCCAGTACAAAGCGACTTCTTTGGAAAAACAGCACAAACATGACCTCCTGACTGAGCCAGACCTGGGAGTTACCATTGACCTCATCAACCCTGACACCTACCGCATTGACCCCAATGGTATGTGGGGAGGCACGGGAGGCCTGCTGTAGGTCAGCAGAGACCAGGCCTGGGCTGCCTTATAGTCCTCCTCTCCCCTTGCTCTTTTCTAGTACTCCTAGATCCAGCTGATGAGAAGCTTTTAGAAGAGGAGATTCAGGCCCCCACCAGCTCCAAGAGGTGAGGGAGGGAGTGCTGAGTGGGGACACGGGACTGGCTGTGATGAGAGGAGGGCAGTGGGGTCCTGAGGTGCCCGATCCTCTCACTCCAGATCCCAGCAGCATGCAAAGGTGGTGCCGTGGATGCGGAAGACAGAGTACATCTCCACTGAGTTCAACCGTTATGGCATTTCCAATGAGAAGCCTGAGGTCAAGTAAGTCGTGGTGGGTAGGGAGGGGAGATTTCAAGTGTGTCCAGTGGCCCCTAAAGGCCTTTCTCTTCCTCCCTAGGATTGGGGTTTCTGTGAAGCAGCAGTTCACTGAGGAAGAAATATACAAAGACAGGGATAGCCAGATCACAGCTATTGAGAAAACTTTTGAGGATGCCCAGAAATCGGTAATTGAGGGACCGGGATGGGGGGAGGCAAAGATATGGCTCCAGAGTGCTTTTACTTCTCACCCTGTTTTTGCCCCTGCCAGATCTCCCAGCATTACAGCAAGCCCCGAGTGACACCAGTGGAGGTCATGCCTGTCTTCCCAGATTTTAAGGTCAGACCCAGGGCAGGAGGCAGGGGGATAGCCTGCCATCTCTGCCTGTCCTAGTCTTAACTCCAGTGTCCTCCATCCCGCAGATGTGGATCAACCCGTGTGCTCAGGTAATCTTTGATTCAGACCCAGCTCCCAAGGACACAAGTGGTGCAGCTGCATTGGAAATGATGTCTCAGGCCATGATCAGGTAAGTGGCCCTGCTGCCCACCTTGGCTTGCTCCTTATTGTCCCTTAGTCCTCACTCTTAACTGTTCCTCCTTTCCCTCTCACCAGGGGCATGATGGATGAGGAAGGGAACCAGTTTGTTGCTTACTTCCTACCTGTGGAAGAAACGCTGAAGAAACGAAAACGGGACCAGGAGGAGGAGATGGATTATGCACCAGATGACGTGTATGTGGGTTGGGGTTAAGTTTTGGATCCTGAGAGTGTCTCCTTTTTCTCTCTTGTAGGGAAGACATGGGGCTGACTCTTTGCCCTTCATCCTCAGGTATGACTACAAGATTGCTCGGGAGTACAACTGGAATGTGAAGAACAAGGCTAGCAAGGGCTACGAGGAAAACTACTTCTTCATCTTCCGAGAGGGTGATGGGGTTTACTACAATGAACTGGAGACCAGGTACTCAGCTCAGTCCTACCTCACTCAGATTAGCTTGGGCTTCTGCTTCAGAATTAGGACCCTGGGGTATGCAAGAGCCAACTTGGAGGTCATTTGTACCTAAGGACTTGTCACGTGCATTTGTAAGAGCAGAAGCACATTCACGCATGTGGGCTAGGCCTGGTTCTAACATAAGAATCCAGAAAGAAAATCTTTACCTAACACTGGGAATATTTAGAGCTTTCATGTAGGGTAGATAGCCAAGATAGCCAAGTTTTCTCTGATGTTAAAAAGAGAGTTCACGTGAAAGTAAACACAGCCAAAATATAGTGATACATAGAATCGGTGTGAATATTTTAAACAAAACACTAGGTACTCACATTCAAAAATGTGAACCCCCAAACTGTTCCCTGATGACTAAAAGTTTAGTGCTGTACTGGGACGTTTGGTGTAAAGGTTAGGAAAGGTGACCTTGAGTTTCTGTTTAAAGCAGCGATCACAAATGCTGATCCCATAAGCCCGGCAAGAAATGTAAAAGGCGGCACAGTGGGGCTCTTGGGGTCTAGGTTACCTGTAGAGCTCTTGGCAGCTTCCAAGGGGCACCATGACCCAAGCCCAGCAAAGGGCTCAACCCATTGCTGCTATGCTGGGGTGGGGGTGGGAGGCAGGCAACAAAAGCCCAGTGGGGTCAGATTTATATTTTCCAAAAGCCAGAAATCCATATTCTGTTTTTAAGTATAGGTAACTAATTCACATTAAAATCTCTTTGTTTATACACGTTAAGTGCATATGTACAGGACATACATATACACGTATATAAAGTACAGGGCAACCAAACTGATAACTTAGAAGCTATCATTCCTCCTGTCCTCTGCTCCCAACCCCCAAGTTCAGTTACCCTTATTCAATCGTATTTATTCTCGTCTAAGCACAGATGCATAAAAACAAGTTAGATGAGATTCCCCACTGGGGGTCTTTAACCGAATCTTCCATACCCCTACCCCTCAACTCCACCACTGCAGGGTCCGCCTGAGCAAGCGCCGGGCCAAGGCTGGGGTTCAGTCGGGTACCAATGCCCTGCTTGTGGTCAAACACCGGGACATGAATGAGAAGGAATTAGAAGCACAGGTAATAAGCAGCACTGACCCAGGGCACCCATGGGGGAGGGTAGTGGTTGGTGAGGAGAGGGACAGGAGCTGGGCAGAACACCTTTCTTCCCCTCAACTCTGCTGCTTCCAGGAGGCACGGAAAGCTCAGCTGGAGAACCACGAACCCGAGGAGGAAGAGGAAGAGGAAATGGAGACAGAAGAGAAAGAAGCTGGGGGCTCAGGTATAGCTGGACAGTCCAAACTCTGGGAGCCCTGGGAGGATGGGAAACTGGGTCTCACTTCTCCTTGTCCTGCACAGATGAGGAACGAGAGAAGGGCAGCAGCAGTGAGAAGGAAGGCAGTGAAGATGAGCGCTCAGGCAGTGAAAGTGAACGGGAGGAGGGTGACAGGGATGAGGCAAGTGACAAGAGTGGCAGCGCTGAAGATGAAAGCAGTGAGGATGAGGCCCGGGCTGCCAGAGACAAAGAGGAGATCTTCGGCAGTGATGCTGACTCTGAGGACGATGCTGATTCTGATGATGAGGACAGAGGACGGGCCCGTGGCAGTGATAATGATTCAGACAGCGGCAGCGATGGGGGCGGCCAGCAGAGCCGGAGCCACAGCCGGAGCCGGAGCGCCAGTCCCTTCCCCAGTGGCAGTGAGCATTCTGCTCAGGAGGATGGCAGTGAAGCTGCAGCTTCTGATTCTAGTGAAGCTGACAGTGACAGTGACTGAGTCCCAGGGCCTTCAGGGCTGGTACAGACACAATTATTACGTGCAGAAAGGCACTTTTCGAGTGGTCTATTTTCAAGCCTTTTGCTTTGTTTCCCTCTTCCTTCTCCAAACCTTTGCTGTTAATAAAGCCAACTTCTCTTTACTTCCCCTCCCAGGCCAATGGTCTCCTTCTGCCTTCCCACCCCCCAGGTGCTTAAGGCACAGAAGCAAAGGCCACAGAGGCAGGGCCACTATGTTTCCCATGAAATGTAGCATAACAAAGGTCAGAATCCTTTTTGTTTGTTTGTTTTTTTTCCAAAATAAGCCCAGACCAATAAACAAGTGAAACTCCAACAAATGTCTTCTCCAACAGCGAGAAAAACTATACAGTTACTCAAAGCTGATTCTGCCAGTGGGGCTGGGGATAGAAGGGTGAAATCATGGCAGAGGGGCCAGGGGGCAGGGAGGGGTGGGAGCGGGTCAGGGTCCTGCCCATCAGAGTGAGGCCGCCTGCGTCCTGCATACTCTGCTGTCAGGTGGGGGGAGGGTGGCAGCTCTTGCCTCCCATTGTGTGTGGGGGTGTCCCTCACCACCTCCCAGTGCCAGGCAGACCCAGCTCACCCTGATGGGTAGTGAACAAGACAGGACTGGCTGGGAAGAGGTGAGGGTCTCTAAGAGGGACACCCTGCTGATACCAAACGAGGTGGCCCCTGTCCATCCCACTTCCCCGGGCTAAGAGGAGGATTGGAGAAGCCCTGGGAGTTGGAGGGGAATGAGCAAAGGCACAGAAACATGGAGGAGCCGGGATGGGGGACTTGCATAGGTTGATGAGTGTGCAAGAGGTACATAAATAAACCTGACACCCCACCCAGCCCGGCACTGGGAGAGGAGGTGGGGACCTAGAGCAGGTCCCCAGGGCCACCCTGCCCCCTGGCTTCCTCCCTCTCCTGGGCTTAGAGCTGAGGGAGGTCCAGACCAGGAGGACAGGGGCAAGAAGGTCTGGGGAACTGGGGGAGAGTGCAGGGAGGGCGGTGGTTTTAAAATTTTTTTTTGGTTTTTTGTTTTTTTCCCAACATTTTGTATCTTTAATAACATACACAATGGTTACCAGCCATATTCATAACAAAAGTTATTCATAAAATGTATCTAAAAATAACATTTTTTTTCCTTTTCGGTGTGAAAAGCTTGAGAATGTCCCAGTGGGGGAGGGGAGGTTAAGGGGAAAGGGGGGAGGAATAGGAGACCCTGGCTTCTCCACAGCCTGAACCCCCAAATCCCCTTCCTTCCACCTGGGCCCTAGCACAACCCCTCAGTAGGAACAGGGATCAGAGGGTCTGTGTAACTCCAGGGCTGGGACGAATCTCTGGGTTATGATATAGTGTTCCACTTAAGTGAGGTCATGACAGAATGGCGGGGGATGGTGGGGGGAAGGTTGAAAGAAAAGGGAGTGGGAGTGGGGAAAAGAAACCAAAAACCATCCCCTTTCCCTTATTCCTTACCCCCAAGTCTTTTCAGCAACCAGACCTGAGAGTGGAGAAGGGTTTGTGTTGGTGGGGGAAGGGGACGTTAAGGCAACAGACTTCCTGACCTCACTGGCTGCCCTGGCTCCCCACCTTCAACCTCTGCATCTTAGGGAGCCAGGGCTGGGGGTAAGTGGGGAAGGGCTAGGGGGTATGGAGGAGGGGGCTCTGCCCTCTCCTCTTGTAAAATTTAGGCTCCCCCTGCCACTTTCTTGGCTCAGAGAGAGGCCTGGGGATTCTAAAAATGAGAGGGAATGATTAGAGAGAAAAACCGTTAAGAACTATATAAATATGTATCTTAAATAGGCCTAAGAAATTAATTGTAGAGAACCTCTGATAAACAGGGCAAAAGGAGGTGAGTGAGAGGAGGGTGGCTCCTGTCCTAGGGAATGATGAGAATGGGGAAGGAGAAGTGGGTGGGAAGGAGGAGAGGAGAGGGAGAGAGGGAGAGAGAGGGAGGGAGGGAGAGAGATGGGCAGACACCCTCCTCCCCTCACCTGCCTTCTCAGCTCCTCTCAAATAACATTCAGGAGAGCAGGCTATGGACCCTGCTGTTCTCTCCCTAAATGTCAGATGGTTCTGAGCAGGCCTCACAAGATGGTGGGTCAGTGAGTCTCTAGAGGAGACTGTTTCCTTGGGAGGGGCAGGTGGCCGGTGGTTTGGAGGAGGCAGGGGTGGGATGGGGCCTGGTGGGGGATGAAAGAGGGAAGGAGAGGCAGGCAGGCTGCCCCCTATCCCTGCTCCCTGGGCCTCAGCAGAGATCCCTCAACGGGCCTGGGATTGAGCAAGGCATGTGCCAATGTTAAACAAAAGTTAAAAGGGTGATAGAGTAGAAAAATATTAGAATGTATAGCTGAGCCAGCCCACCCTCTTCCTGTCGCAGAGAAGCCCGTTGGGGGTTGGCCCCCGCCCGCCGCCCAGGGAGACTATGGGTGCGCTGGGCTGTGGGTCCCGTCAGATGGTGGAAGTTTTGTCTGTCCCATCTGTGGTAAGAAAGGGAGGAAGGGAGGAAGATCAGCAGCTGGCAGGAGGCCCAAGAAAAAGCGCTCAGGTAGCCTGTCATCCCAGTCAGGCCCTCCCTGGAGTCCGGCCTCCCCTAGGGACCCCTCAGGATGACTCTGAGTTGCTCAGTTCAGAGGTGGAGACGCTGCCGGGTAGGTGGGAGCTGGGTCAGGGAAAGAGGAAATGCTCACCACCCAAGGCGTGTTCTGTCATGCTCAGACACAGAGACTCCAGAGTGGGATTGATCTCCAGGTCAGGCCCAGGGACCGGGCAGTCTGGGTAGGAGAAAGGAGAATGGAAACAGTAAGGACTGGATGGATGAAGAGCAGAGACGTGAAGACAAAGGCTTGAATGAGGGAGAGGCTGAGGGGCACGAAAGGGAAAGGGAGAGAGAGAAGAGACAAAAGGCAAGAGATGGAAACAGCAGAGTGTGAGACATGCGCACACTCAGATGGAAGGTGTGGCTGGGCAGAGATGAAGGACAGAGACAGGCCTGGGTGTGTCACAAAGCAGGCAGATGACAAGGACAGAGGCTTGGTGACACAGAGAAAACCTGACCTGCAGACAAAGGAAGCGATGAAAAGCAGGGGGAGCTGCCTGGAGGCCACACATTCACTGCACGTTCCCTCTGTCACAGTCTATGCAGCTGCCCTGAGCACTGGACAGCCCTATGCTCCTTGATGACCTGCTCTGTACCTGGTGCAGAAGCTTCATTAGAACCCTTCCCACCCCACATGGACTTGCTCCTCTGGGCAGGATGTGCCTGAAGCAGGCCTGGCAGGTGGGGCGAATGTGGACAGCAGCCATGGGGCTTGTCCTCATACTACCTCTCAAAGGGCCTCCTATTCAGCCCACCAGACCCCTGGGTAGCCCTAACCCCCATCTACTGCTTAAAACCCTTCCTGGGCTCCTCACTGCTTTGAGAGGAATGCTGATCTTTTTATGTGGGTGTAGAAGATCCTGCTCTCACCCTCCAACCTCACCTCTCACCACGTCCCCTCTGAATCCTGATCTCAGGCCATGTTAGACCATCTACTTGTCTCTCCTTAATGAAAAAATTTTTTGACCTTGGGCAAGTCACCTCACTGAGACTCAGACTCATGACTAATAAGATGGGAATAGAATCAGTGCCTTCACATGTGCAGTTGGGAGGATTTTTCAACACTGCAGGAAAGCTGTCTGACACACAGTCCAGCACACAGCATACCAATAAAAAGAACTGGTCTAATTTTTCACTCCTGTAGTTCATCAATCCAGTCATTTAACATCATTTACAGATGTCTACCATATGCCAAGCCCTGTGCTAGAATGAACATGACTAACAGGGTCTTCTGCCTCCCAGAGATAGCAGTCTACATAATCTCATAAATTAAGAATCTGTAGTGATTTGGCTGTTTGTGACATTAAGAGCTTAGGGTCAAAGGCAAATCTAAGTTTTCTCCCTTTTCCAGACCAGCCTTCTCTGCCTCTGCAGCCTCAGAACCCAGCAGCAGGCCTGGCACAGGATGTCACCTCTGTCTCATTGAGCAATGCAGGGCTAACACTTCTCTAACCTCTCCTTTGCCCACTTTGCCCTCATTCTGATCTCCCATCTCTAGGCTGGTCTGTGAGCAGAGAGAAAACAGCCCTTTCACTTCCAACAACCTTTAGTATAGAATCTGATCCAAGAGCTGAAGTCTACTTCTGAAGCATGCCAGTGGACTGACAGGCAGGGCTCCCCTCCAAAGAAAACTCACTTTGTCTCATCCCCTCTACCCCTTCCAAGCTGAGTACTTAATGATCCTTGAAAGAGATGGTGACAGAGACAAAAACACTAAGATTATGACACAGGGAGGGAAGTAGAGATAGGGCGGCGGGAATCAGGGATGCGAAGATTGGGGGCCGGGGGAGAGGGGGAAGAGGGGAAGGTGGGGATGTGTGGGATGAACACAATGAGCTGGAGAGAGAGAAACACACACACACAACACATGCAAGGGATAGTTCGTACAAGACCCAGAACAGAAAAGAAAGGCAAGCTAGGGGTGTTGAGGCAGAGTCTCAAGGGTGGGCACCTTACCTGGAGGGAACATGAGAATGGCCTGGGGCGATGAGTGGACTGGGAGCGAGTGGGTACGCTGCACAGAGCTGCGGCTCTGGCTGGGCATGCTGTTGCTGCCTCCGGGGTTGGCGAACCACAGGTTCTGCATGGCCATGGGAGACAGAGAGAGCAGGAGGTGAGTGGGGAAGAGGCCCAGACTTAGAGTGGTAGAGTTGGCAAGGGAGTCCTCTTCCCTCTAAACTGGGCCCAGACACAAAGAGAAGGACACACACATCTCAGGCACCACCACCCCAAAACCAGATGTGCCAGGCCCTCTCCTTCCAACCGGCTCACCTGTCGGCCCTGGCCCCCAAGGCTGGGGCTGGTGAGGGCATGTCGGGGGGAGATACCCCCAATGCCCGAGGGGCTCAGAAGGCCCATCCTACCAGGCGGAAGGGCCCGCGGAGGCATTGGGAACTGTCGCTGGGTCCGCCGGGCCACTCCCATCCCCACAGAGCCAGCTATGGGGAGTGAGTTGGAGCCAAATGCCCAGCTGTGAGAGAGCAGAAGGCAGGGTGTCAGTTTAGGTGGATGGGCCCCATCTCTTACTCATCTACCCCTATAACCCTCAGGCGCGGGACAGAACACAGATCTACTCTGTCCAAGTCCCTGCACAGTACGTTCTGTCTCCTCCTGCCCCAAGGGTACTCCCAGGATGGAGATGGGGAGTGTACAAAGGTTTCCTAGAGTCCAATCAAAGCAGCTCTCCTAACTTTAGTTCTCAATATTTCTGTTATTTGAGAAGGGACTTCAGAGCAC